TTTGGATCACTTGTTGTTCCCTTGTCCCTGGGTTTGTTAACACCACTTCCTTTCCCCCCACCTCCTCCTTTCCCATGTTCCCCCGAACTGTCGGTCCCGTTGTTTTCTCCTCCAGATTTTTCATCCAGCCTATCTTATGTAGACAGACCTGTGGAGATAATAACATGCACAAAAACAAGACAGAGCAAAACCAAGCAACAATGTACTGCTTTCCTTTTTTAATAGTTCTTAAAGAAGACGTCAACTCTTATTTAACAGTGATATTTAGGAGTAAACTAGTAAAAAAAAGCGTGATTCATGGTTACTCACTCGTTATCCCAACTGTGGCTGTTAGCTAAATAAATACACATGTATAATTATACAAAGATTTTCCTCTAATTTTTGAAAACCACTTTTTGTGGCTTTTTTATTAAACAGGTTGAATTAGTAAGAAGAGATTATGTCGCCAATGGTGGCTGGGAAACATTCTTGTCATATGAAGACCCAGATCAAGATATTTTGATTGGCCTCCTCCGGTTGCGAAAGTGTTCGGAGGAAACCTTCCGTTTCGAATTGGGTGGAGGTGTTTCCCTGGTCCGAGAACTACATGTGTATGGAAGTGTAGTTCCTGTGCACAGTCGGGATCCTACGAAATTTCAGCATCAGGTATGCTGCATAGCATTTCTATCCGACTTACAATTAAGAAATGGTCTGAAGTAGGTCAAGAGAGAAACTATAGGGATCAAAAGTAGGAGAGAAGGAGGAAGCAACTCACGGAGCAGAGTCACCATTGTTTAGATTTGCAGAGATGCCAGATTGCGCACTTTGGGATGGGTAAGGAGAGAGAGAGGGACACACTGAGGCTCAGTCAAATGGAACATAATAGGTGGTGGGGCCATATGAAATTACAGTTTGGGGGAGTCAAGAATGGTCTAATATTGGCAATTTCAGATAGTTAAGCTTATTATGGGATCAAACGGAGCGTTGATGCAGATACACCTGTTAAAGCACTTCTTAAAGATAAATTATGTTGCATATAATTGAATCTCACTCCACCCCACAAGCAACCAGAATGAATAACTAACAACTGTTTCAGAACTTTCATGAATAAATGGCTTAAAACCAACTAGAGAAAGCCCCCAAACTGGTGGTCTTAAACATCTTGCCTGGTTTCAAAACCCGATTCGAAATTACAGGGCTGGTTCTCATGAAAGATTAGATGCCCGAGATTTCCATCACCTGGATATTGTCTAGAGATTCTAAAAACAAACTGAAGTTGAAAGGAAATTACCCCCTTGTGACTAGATTACATTATCTACACAGACATTTGTGGTAGCTTTCTTGCAAATTTATATCTTTTAGTCTGCTTTGGGCATAATATAATATAATAGTTTCTCTTTCCTTGCCCCCATAAATGAATGTTTATCATTCATATTTTAACAGATCTCAACAACTAGTAAATTATAGCTGCTTTCTTGTTTTATACCCCACCTTCTCTCTTTTAAATGTACTACTCAATAGCACTATTATCAAGATGTAAAATAGTTTAAAAAAAAAGTTTTCTACATTCTTTTCCCTGTCCAAAGATACTTAAATCAAATTATTATTAAACTGTAATCAGTCAAGGATATATGTTATAGTGTATTTTTAAAAAACACTTTTCAAAGTTCAAAATGTGTTTGGAAGCTATTTGAATGCCAATTTTGAATTATGGGTCTCTCCTAATGGGATGTGTTAGGGGAGGAACAAATCGAGGCTTAGTCAAATGGAGCATAATAGTAGGTAGAACCATATGAAATTGCAGTTTTTTGAGAGGCAGGAAGGGTCTAATATTGGCAATTTTTTATGGTTCAACCTATTGTGGGATTAAATGAAGTGATGATGTGATTCCTTTCTGACGCCCCCTCCCCTCCCCATTGCTCCTTATAGGGGTTTGGCATGCTGCTGATGGAGGAAGCAGAAAGAATAGCTAAAGAAGAACACGGATCTGGGAAAATGGCTGTCATTTCAGGTAATTAGGGAAGGGAAAGTTTATGAGTCATTCACATTTATAAGTTGTTACTACAAGTGAAACTACCTCTGTCTCCTCCTGCCCCTATTTATGATCATAGCATTCAAAACTGGGCAGAGCTAAATAGTGAAGAACTTATGCTTAAGCACAAAGAAAATATGTGCAAGCAATTTGGAACAGAATTTTCTGTTCTGAGAGTAGCAAGACAGCTTATCCTGAGACTTGTAATCTGTATCCTGTCTTCCTCTGTCTGTCATACTAATCATGGTCAGCTTGTCTCATGCATTGGGCCTAGTTCCTCGGTTTGAGGGAATGGAAGTTAATACTATGAATCAATTAAAGGCGTACATTAGAGTTGCACTCTCACTAACACCTCTGTGGCCAACACAAGATGATAAAAGCAGTTTGTGCTCAGCTAGTGTTCTCAGTGGCTTTGCTCCTGGGGAGCAGCTTTCTTCGATTTGGAAACTTGCGCTATCCTCGCCTTAGACATCAGACAATTGAGGGAATGGGTATGAGAAGGGAATTCTGGTACAGGTGGAGCAAAAAGTGTGTGTGTGTGTGTATACTTTCATTCCTGCTCTTTAGTACTATATCCATATAAAAGTTGTTATTCCCAGTAGAAAGCGTGTCTGTGTGTGTGTGTGTGTACTTTCATTCCCGCTCTTTAGTACTATATCCATATAAAAGTTGTTATTCCCAGTAGAAAGCTAGCATAATGAAAATCATGACCAAAATTTGTTATTTATATATTTTCTTCCAGTCCATTTAAACCATTAGACTATAGTGTGCTCCTGAAGGCTAACTTAGACTTTCTAAGAAAACAATCTTTTCTGGAAATGAAAATTGGAATGAGTTTTCATGTTTGTTTGTTTTTTTAATACAAAAATCAATATGTTGTTGCAGACCAATCCATCAATGCCCATGCCTAGGTTGTATTGATTATAATTATGAAAAGGTAATGATTCTAGCTCGCTTAATCTTTTCATTTGATTATAAGTTTGGGCATTATCCAGACAGATTTTTTTTAAATCATTTTATTGGGGGCTCATACAACTCTCATCACAATCCATCCATTGTGTCAAGTACTTTTGTACATATGTTGCCATCATCGTTCTCAAAACATTCCAGACAGATTAATAAAGCATTTTTAACATGGCTAACTTAATATGCGTCTTTCCACGGTCTCTTTAATCCTGATAACAAAGAGATAACTGATGAGGCTCACCTGATTGCTACTGACATCTGTAAAAAAAACATTTGCCTCTCAACTGTTTGGCCTCTTATTGACCAGAAGTACCCAGAAGTGGGCCGGCACGACAGGATGCTGCACCTGCATCGCTGTAGAAGCTTTCTGTCGAGCTCTTGTTGCCAAGGCACTGTACGTATTTTCCATGGGCCAAAGCCCGTTACCATTGACTCTCTTCTTACTCACAGCAACCCTGTGTGTTTCAGAACAGAACTGCAAGGAGGATTTTCAGTGACTGTAACCTCTGTGATGGCAGTGAATTTGGATTTTTTTCCATTTGGTGACCTTTGAAAATAAATTGCCAGGCCTTACTTCCAAGATGTTTCTGGATGAATTCGAACCACCAACCTAATAGCCATGTATTCTAATGTTTGCATCACCCAGTGACTCCCTGTTTGATATAGTGATTAGCAAACTTAAACGTGCTTAAAACTCACTTAGAGATTTTGTTAAAATGAAAATTCTGATGCATTAGATTTGGGGAAAGGCCCATAGTCCTACATTTGTATGAGTTCCCAGATTGTACCTAAGGCTGCTCATCTAAATATTTATGGGAAATGGTTTAATGTTTTGGGTTCCCCCCCCAAAAAAAGCCAGTTAAAATAAAAACACACATCACTGTATTGCATATAAAATTTTTGTATTCTCTTCCAAATTCAGTTTTCTCTTCCAAATCATTAAGGTAATGATACCTCTCTCTAATTCTGGCAGAGCCTTCACCACCAATGTGTAATATGCAATCAAGTGATTAGCTGGTGTCTGTGGCAACCTAATCAGTTCTGAAACTGAGGAGCGTCAGTATTCTCTCGCAGCTCTTTGTTATTCCATTTGCCTTGACGTCACCAGTCTCTCCTTAGAAGTGTTGCATGCGGAGCAGGCCTCTGACTTGCCCGAGGTCACACCCAGTCGCTCCTTTGAGCTTCGGTTTCTGCTGTTAGTATGTGCAGGGTGCTTTCTTAGTGGAAACCAACATCTGTCCTCTCTAGTTTTTCATCATCATCTAAATACCAGCTCAATTTCACATCATCTACTTGTAGAGCTACTTTTTAAATTAATAAGCAAGAAGCTTACTCAAAGTAAAAGGAAAGAACCCTTCTATCAGCTGGGACAATGCATGTGCTAGGTGTCTATAAAGGGGATTCTTTAGACTCGAGGGTTGCCGTAGAATAAACATCAGATGCTTTCTCAGAACTGAAATGAGTGCTGAGGAAGGAAGGAAGCGCTACTTCCTGTCGCTCTTGCTTCCGAAGTCCCACTGTTGCTCTCTCTAGGGGAAACCACCCAGGGCCTTACAGGTTCTGTTTGACTCCAGCTCTGGGCACCTTTCAAATGAGAAAAGCAAGAACATACGAAGTTTCCCATAGAACATTTGCTTTGTAAATTATTCCTCTAATTTAGCTACATATTACTGAGCTACTTATGTTTCTGAATCAGACACTTGAATCAGAACTTTCAAGAACAGATTTTATTATTATTATGGCTTTTTAGGTTATTTTTTTTCTTCCCATTTTGTTCATCATAACTTAGGTCTTTCTGATTTAAAAACAGTGGTGAGGTATTTTTGTAAAAAAAATAATAAAAAACCAACTATTTTCCATAGATTTATCTTTGCAATGAAAACTCTTCATGTTAATACTGGTGTGTGTGCGCATGCTTCAGTAGATGTGGTGAATGAGAAACAGCCCTGATGAGGGACCATTGGCCAGGGTTCCATTCCTGCTTTGCACTAACTCTGTGTGAGCTCAGCTCATTTTACTTGATGCTCACAGACCTTCATGCTCATACTTAAAACCAAGTTGGTTAAATGATCATCTATAACGCTTTAACAGACTAGGTAGGGTTCTACCCCTTAGTATCTTGATTCCTTTTAGTTCTTGTCATGACAAATTGTATTTTTATGACTGCATTTCTAGTACCATTCTTTTCTGATCCCCTCCTAGTTGATGCTTCCATTGGTCTCCGTCTTCTTGTAGATTGAGTCGTTGGTCATGAAAATGATGATAAAATTTCTTATAAATGGATAGCTAGCCAAATCAGAGATTTATAGATGCCTATTAACATTAGTCATAATAATAACAATTGATCAAGGATTCACGAGGGTGGGGGAGGGAAGGGAAAAAAGAGGAACTTATACTCAGGGCTTAAGTAGGAAATGTTTTTGAAATGATGATGGCAACATATGTACAAATATGCTTGATACTATTGATGTTTGGAATGTTATAAGAGCTGTAAGAGCCCTCAATAAAATGAAGTTAAAAATTAAAATTAACTTTAGTCACAGCTGGTTATACTGTGTAGCCTAAATGTCTCCCCCATCCCTACCCCGGCCCCCGCCCTTGCTCTTGATTTATAAGTCCATCTTTGTTCTGGCTCCGTAGACCTTTGTGTAAGTCATACATACTGCTGTCCACATACTCTCTCCTGACATAACTAGTAGTCTGAGTTAGGGAAAGACAGGGTCATTTACCATGTTGGTTACTAGCACTGCAGCACGAATGCATTCATGTGAATTTAATTTAGTTCTGTTACAGCAGACTTCCTTCACCTGCTTAGCAAATTTTCCAAGGCTACTGGAATTTATAATAAAAGATTACCAGTATGTTTTGCATATAGAAGGAATACTTATGTATTTTATACCTGATTTATCTTTTTAAAAGACTGCCTTTACATATATTCCCAAAGATGTGGAAGCCAGTACTCAAACACACTTTTGTATACCAGTGTTTTTTATTCACAATAACCAACAGGTGGAAATAGCTTAAATGCCCATCAGTAGATGATTTGATAAACAAAATGTGGCATATATTACTTAGCTATAAAGAATAGATATTATTGGAATACAATGGAATATCATTCAGCTATAAAGAGAAAAAAGTTCTGGTATAGGCTACAACATGGATGAGCCATGAAAACATTATGCTGAAGGAAAGAAGTCAATTACGAAAGGACAAATAGGTGTTATCCCACTCATATGAAATGGTAAGAATAGACAACTGCACAGAGACAAAACTTGTTGTTGGCCACCAGTCCCTGGAGAAGGACATCAGCCATGGTAAAGGGAAGGGTCAGTAAACAAGAGGAAGGCTATCATGGAGGTGGATTGATACAGTGGCTGCAACAATGGGAGCAAGCATGACAATTCATTGTGAGGATGGTGCAGAACCAGGCCGTGTTTCCATCTGTTGTCCACACGTTGCTGTGACTCAGAACTGAGTGCACAACACCTACCAACAGCAAACAGGGACTGAGGAGAAGAGGGATGGAGGGTTATGGCTGAGAGGCACCGGGTTTCTCTCGAGGCCGTGGGAAACTTTTGGAAGTGGGTAATGGTAATGATTGCTCAACACAGTAATTAGTGTCGCTGAAATGGACTCTTAAAAAGAGTGAAACTGATAATGTTTTGTTATCTTTTACTTCATCAGTTTTTTTAAAAGATAGCTTTTACAGTGACACAAGAAAGCTGATAACTTATTTATCAAAGAAAAGTAGTTTCTTAGGAAGGCAGGCTTTTAAGTATTCGTTCTATTTTTTTTTCAAAGTGCAAATAATTGTCTTAGTAAGGAAACTGTATTTTATGGGTTTTAGCAATGAATTTTAATGTGAAAATAGAGCAAAGCCAAAATAAACATTTAGCTTGGTCAGCATCAAAGTAGGTATGCATTGTCTCCTATGAGTAAGGACCAGTTTGAAAGGAAGAGAAAGGGGGTGTGAGACACTGTCCAGACATGTGTGGGACATCACCACTGGGCTG